AGTGATTTTCCAGAGCAACAGCAGCAACAATGGCATCAGCAATAACACAAACACCAGCAACAACTACATTATGGCAACTACTATGGCTGCAGAAGCAACAGTTGCAGCAATAGAAACTGCAACATAGGAACATGAGGAGCAACAAGCAATAAGTTGAGTATCTACCAGCTCAAAGCAACAACCGAAGCCTTTAATCCTCTCTGTGCGTTATCATCTGTACAAACCTATCCTTTCAAATTCAGATATTAGTTTTCTTTCTTTTTAATATAAAGCTGATAAAAACTTGTTTTTTAAATACTGAAGAGCTACACCCTCATCAAACCCAAAGTCAGGTTGCAAACTGCTGGACGGCTTTTGCTAACTCTACTAACTCTTATTGTGCTCTTTGATGATTTTGGTTGTTTATGGTGTAACGTTGTCAGTTTTAAAGAAGTCTTCAGGGGATTTGATTAAATAATGAGAATTTACCTGAATATGAAATAGAACCATTGCTTATTTAAGACACATTTTATACCTTGAGAGAACATATATGCACATTTCTTGGACTGGAGTAAATAAATGATTATCTTCACGATTGTTTATTGGTGCTTTTTAAAAGTGTGCAATCAATCCTCTACACACACTGCTGACAGCGCAACCTGTAAAGCAATAGTACAACATTTTATGGAAACACTCATTTGCTCTCTTTCTGAGAGTGAGATGAGAAGATCGACGTCCATCTCGTGTCTGAACATGGAGCTGGAGTCAGTGCATGGTTAGCCTAGCTTAGCATAAAGACTAAAGTACAGGTCAAAAAAGCAAGATGCAACTTGTTGAGTCTCAGAAGTGTGGGTAAATGAATACTAGAAGTTCGGACAGACACTTTAGACATTCCACATAAATAGAGACTTAGTGTGCATTCAGACCAAACCCAAACGCAAATTTAATGCTCGAGTCGCTTTCCTCACGTGGATTTTATTGCTGGACTAGTGCTGAGTGTTCACACACAATGTGATAACGCGAATAAACACGACCCACGATTACTACAGCGGTATGAATGAAATGGAGTTCAGATCGATGGATGTTAATGACAGCTGGAATAAAGTAACAGACACATATTTTCTGAACTTACCAGGTACTTCATCAGTGATGTCCAGAAAATCTCAACGTTGAAAGACTACGGCAACAACAGAAAGTCGCATCTTTCCGCGTCTTTGCATTGACTTTGTATGTAATCGCGCCGCCCCAAACCCTCACTTCGCTTTTGCGCAGTTAGGAAAAATGAAACACCATAAAATTTTTATAAATTTAAATAAGAGTAAATAGAAAATTACACCAAGGCAATAAAACAGGTCTTGAGGTTAGGAGCCACAACCTCAAAGCCTCCTTTAGTTTTCAACTGACCCTGATCACAGGACCTTAGAGACCTGCTGGTGATACAGGGTTGCAGCAGATCTCTAATGTAAGCACGTGTGTGGTCCTGCAGAGCTCTGAACATGATCACAATAACAGTTTGGAGGACTTGGTCAAAGGCTTAGCAGCCGCATTTCAGGCCACTTGTAAATTATGCAGGGATGCTTTGCTGAGGCAGGTGCGGGAGGAGTTACAATAATCTAGACAGAACGAGATAAAAGCATGAATTATCATCTTGACCCCTGCTTGAGACACAACGGGCCTGAGTTTAGTTTCTCATGGAGGATTTAAGAGAAAAGGAAAGAGATCCAAGATCTTCCATAACCTTAAAAACAAGACTTTATCTAGTTTATCTAAATTTTGATGCTTAAATGAGATATACAGCTGAATATCATATGTGTAGCAGTGGAAGAAGATAACTTTAAAGTGTCATTTAAGGGGAAGCACACAAGGCACACCACTAAACAGTTTCCAATGAAGAGGCATAAGCCATTGCCCTGGATATCGATCTCAGCAAGCCACCTTGAAGCACATCCTAAAATCCGAGGGGCGCTGCGGCACAAATTGGGATATGAGAAAGTCCCCCGTTTGCCAACAGCAACTGAGAAGCTCCTAACAGAGAGGAAGGAGGAGAACCACTTCAGGGCTGACCCAGAGATACCCACCCACTGCCTTAGTCTGTCAGTTAGGATACTGTGGTTCACAGTGTCGAAAGCTGCACCAACAGTACCAAAACCGAACACTCTCCTGCATCACCATGCACCAAGGCTTTGATAAGCTAAATCATCAGTATGCTGTAAGTTCCGTCAGATACTTGGCACAAACTGTCCTCATTCCAGATGTTGCACTGTATGTGTGACTGTATGCGTTTGTGTGCACTGCGTGGTGTTTGTGTGCATCTCTGTGCGTTAAAGACGGAGGGAGACAAACCAGCCTGCCAGCTCTGCCCTCATTTGCATCTGCTAATGGCTCTATGATGCCAGTTTCTGATCACTGCAACTACACATTTAAATTCCTGCTTCATTGCCAGATGCTCCTCTGTCTCTCTCTCACACCCAGAGATTCCTGTTTTCACCCTGTCACAGCAGCTCTGTCCGTGCTCTGCATCAGAAAACACCAGCTGAGCTTAAACTGGAGGCATGAAGCTGCTGCTGGCGATGATGCTTTAGTTGGTCATGATAAAACGTACATATTTACACTCACGCATTACATGTCACTCAAAAAAACAATGGACTTTAATCTGTTGTTAGAACTGCCTCCACTCTTCTGGTTTCAGGCTTTCTACCAGATTTTGGTACATGGGATTTGCTCCCATTCAGACATAAGAACACTTCAATCCAAGAAACTTCAAGGAATTAGTAATATATTTCAAATGGTTATACTGTTATTTTTGGTTAAAAGGCTCTTCTCTTCGAGGGAGCAGCAACAAGGATTCTACAAAAATACCAAAAGCTTAATACATTGGAGGAGTTTTGGGTGGTCAAGGGAGCTGTGTTGGTATGGATATATCAGCAGAGTAGCCAGGTTATACTGTGCATTATGTGCATTTGATGTCACGCTTAAACAGGAAAGGGCCCCTACTAAACTCTATCTACATTATACTGTGCATGTAATTTTTATGACAACTGGCCAAACTTCCTCTGCTGAGAAGGGCGTCACAGGGATGAAAGCTAAATGGCCAAAACAGTGAGCTGCAGCACACCTCTCCTCTCCCTTCCAAACACTAGCTACCCTCCAGGCAGTTGTGGTATCCAATATTTGTGCGTTTGACTCATAGAGAGACAGAGTGGCCATCAGGCTGGGTCACTCTCCAAGCTGCTGCAGAGCTTGTAATTGATGCTGAACTCCTTGATGTAATAAACTTTTATGATCAAGAACAGTGTCAAGCGGGTTTCTTCTCAACACATCATCGCAGCATTATTGTTCGGACACTACACAGTCAATAGACATAAAGTTGTTACTGTGATGTAGAGACAGAGCTCAGTTAAAACTTTATGGATGAAAGAGTCTTTTGTTACAGATTAATAACTCACCACTCTGAAACTCTCGCTCCAGTCAATGTTGCTAAGCTGGTAAGGGGAACATATACAGCTGAACCAAAGCCGTGTTTACCGGCTTCTCATGACCCGCCCTACTCTGCTGCTGATTGGCTAGTAGTCCTTAACTAGGAACTGCACATGTGCAACTCCCAACAAAGATCATTTAGAGACCAGATGTATCACTCCATAGCTAAAACGAAGCCTCCAACACAGGATGAAAAGAGGAGCTGCAGCAATGTGCAGTATGACAAAAAAAAATGGTGTTTTTTGAAAATTAAACCATGTAAACCTGTTCTGGTACAACCCCTAAATAAGATTTTTAACCTGGAAATGAGCAGAATATGACCTCTTTAAGGACATTTTTAGAAAGTAAGAATATTTGACTCGTCTCTACTTCAAAAAGCTATTAAGATATGGTTTTAGGTTTAGGGCTAGAATTAGGTTTAGCTTAAAGCCCGAGTGAAATTTCAGAGCATCTTTAGTATCTGTAATGTGACACATTTCCAAATGAATATGTCACCATGGTGATTATGTGAGGGATTTGAACACATGGTTCAGGGATTTGATTCGATCACTCAAAAGGATAGACTCTAAGGGTAAAAAACAGGGCAATTTTTAATTGATCCAGCTAACTTGTTAGCAATCACGGCTGAACGGCTGAACGGCTAACCTGCTCCTGAGCAGGTTTTGTTCCGGATAAGAGATCAACTCTATAACTCTATAAGCACCGCCTATTGACCAATCAGCTCTCTTGGAAAATAACATCACCATTTGTCGGAGATGCCACAGACTGTTTCATAGGCTGCTTTTATGCTTGCTGCAGTGATGTGAAAATGCTTTTATACGGCGAAATCATCCTACTGAGGATTAAAGCACTAAAGCCTTGAACTTGTTGTACTTTTATGATGTGTAAGCCTACTCACTGCTTTGAAATGTGTTTTTATGTTAATTATTTGCTCCCAAGTCTGTTTCACATCTCTGTACCTGTCGCAGCCGTTAAAATAAATTTGTTTAATTTTTCTTATGTGAGGCTGAATATTATGAGCATATAGTTTGGTTCACCTTTTTTATGTGAACGCGCTCATGGCTGGATTGGGAAACCCTGGGCTGACTTACCAAGTCAAAGACATGCTGTGTATGTTGACCTTGCTTCGTGTTACAGGCCCCTACTAGTCTTTTACTTTGTCTGTTTGCTGTTGGCTGCTGAGCAGGTCGTGTACAGGGTTTTTATCGCTGTATCAACTCATGCGATGAGAGTGGTGAGAGTAAACCAAAACACTAAAATTGCCGGCAAAACAAACCAAAACAATGAGCTTAAAGAAGCTAAAATGTATCCTAAAGCTCAGAGGAAGTGCAGAGCATAAATATTTATGCGTTTGTCACTATGAGCGACTCCTTTCACATACACAAAGTCATTTCATCCTAATGTACAAATATTAATTAAAGCAGAACATGTGTGTCTGTGTGTGTTTGTGAATCATAATCATAATATGTATGACATGTGAGTGATCAGCTTGTGTATTAGAGTTCTGTGCATTGTGTGTGGAGGATACAGAAAGGACTACAAGATGCACACACAGCTGTTTTTTTATTGTTGCTGGTTGATGATGAACATGATGCAGTGGAGTTCAAGGGAGACTCGTAACTAATTGGTGAATGCGACAATTCTCCATGAGTAGTAGTAGTGGTCGTGGCATGAGGACCAATGTTTGAGTTTATTTTCTTTTTTACTGCAACATGCACAGATCAGTTTAAACTTTTATGTCCTCGTGCCTCAAAAAGATGAATACAGTTGGACTTGCCCTTGCTCTGGGCCAAAATGAACCTAAATACCTTTTCATTGTGTTAATATTCATGTTAATTGAACAACTGGTTAGTGGAAATCAACATTTTAATCTGCTTTTAGAAGGAGCAAATGAGTAGCAACAGATACAAGTTGAAATCACCACATTTCTCTTGGATCATTAGTAAAGATTTGAATTCACTTGATTTGAAAAAAATAATCTGTAGGTTCAGTGACTCAGATCAGACAACAGTAGAAATGTTTCAATCCACTGCAGCTGAAGGGAGGATTTGATTATGTTGATGACAGCATCCTGTGTGATTAAACACCACATCCTGCTACATAGGAGCTCAGGTCGCGGTTCCTGCAGTGATCGCGCCAGGCCACCCTGAAACCAGACAGAAGGACTTACGTCATCTCTCCACAATTTCTATAGTGAACACATCACATTCTGCATCTGAGTCACATGATCAGATCTTACCAGGCTCCGATGCCGTTGGGATCCCTCACGACACGTTTGGCACAGTTGATTGCCACGCTGACATCGCCGTTCAGAAGCGCTGTGAAAAAAGAAAGAACATCTGGATTTGAGTGGGTCCCTCCCATCTATAGAAATTTTGTTTATTAAAGTTTAAATAAGAGGGCATTAAAGTTTTGTCATAAGGGGGAAGAGGGACTCCACAACATTAGATGTAGTATCAGCTTATAAGGTCTTAGCTAACGTCTTAGCAAAAACGTCTGCCTGCTGCAACTGGAAAGTGGATGAGAGCTGGGAGACTTAACCATACAGTGCATGTGCAGTAAAACCAAAACTACTAATGAAAAGAAGCTGAAAAAAAGGAGCTGCAGAGTTGGTGAGAATTCTTCATGGATTTAAAAATACCAGAGACATGCACATATTAGTCATTTAATTCACTGCTAAGTTTAGAAATACTGTTGTGTATTGCAGATTTAACAACAGGATTGAACTTGCACGACAACATGGGAAGTAATGAAATAAGAGGAATAGGGCTGAACAATATATCGCCGGAGCATCATCATCGCAATGTGCTCTTGCGCAATAGTCACATCACAGAGTAGTGCGATATCAAGCAAGTCAAATTAACTTTTTCCAATATCATGCAGCCCTAAAGAAGAGCATGTCCCTGTGTCGTTATAGTTTTGGGTGTGGTGGTTCATCACTGACCACTGCAATTGATGTTGCATCCATTCGCAGACTGGGTGCGGCCATTGTTACACCACCAGCGGCTGTTGATCTGGAAGATGCCGTAGTCAGTGGATCCATCAGTGTTGTGGTTGGTGGCTGCGGTGTTGTAGCCTGACTCCCACTTGGACAGACAAACCCCTGCAGAGGAAACAGAACAGACCCACATATAGACCACCTGAAAGATCAAAGATCATTTAAGACTACTCTTACATTTTTATTTGCTATTCACACCTTGTCATGGATCGATCGCTGCGTTCCATCTTATCAGTTAAACGCTTTTGTGGCAGCGATTAGCTGATTTTGCTCACGGAGCCTCCAGCTGCAGCTGCGGATGCTTCAGATGTAGTTGGTGTGATCGGCTGGATGTGCAGCCTCTCTTTTCCTCTGTTTGCTTCTTTAGATTCTTTAGTTTCATGACTTGTTTAACTCCTTACACATTTTCTACTTCTTACTGTCATCTTTTTGGAGGTTTGTGACTCACCAATAAAGGAAAAAGCACTTGTGGAGATCTTTCAATTCAGTTTATTGATTGAAAGTTAACAAAAAAATTCTCCGATGTTTACTTTTAACAAACGTATCAAAAATTAACTTAATTTGTTTTCCACAACTCATTTGGTCACTAAACTGTTTGACTCCTCCTCTCTCATTCGAAATACAAAAAAACTCCCAAGCCTACCACCGTGAGGATGACTTAATTAGGATGAGGAAGATCTGATGCAATTTCCCTAACAGCTAATTCATTTCCATATTGTACCAAAATTAATGGATATTTCTGGCTTGTTTTAAAGGTGTAAAAAAAATGTATTGACATTTGTATGGTTACAATGCATGCTTTGGTATGCCATGCTATGCAAATGTAGTGAAACAGCTGGTATGGTCCTTAAGACTGATGTTATGTTGCATTGCTGCTAAGGCATGAAAATGCATGTAAATGAGTAGTCTTTTCTACTTCAGATACAGTGCAGACCGACAGGCTGGTACTCACAGTTGGCTAGGCTAATGCCCCGGTAGCCGTCCATCCCATGACTCTTCAGCACTCGAGCCCACTCACAGCGCTGATAGACTCTAGCGCTGGCCAAAGCCACCAAGAGCAGGAACACTAGACACCTCATAATGGGCTCTCTGCTAGACCAAATGTTTCCACAGATGCTGCTAAATGTCCTTTTATAGTCAAGAAACTCAGGTGAAACTGCGGCGGCTGCTTTGATTCTCTGTAACTTTTTTTTACTTTGAATGTTGTCCAGTTTCAACAAAGCTGTTGAAAGAGGTGGAGTATGAATCCAGGTTTTTGTGTTTGAACTTTGATATGTTTGTTTTCAGGCAGAGTTGTGTTATCAGTGTGATAATACAGACTGATCTAAAGGACAAGGGAAGTCCAGGTGGAGTTTTGGCTCAAAATCATCTGCAGCGATTAAAGGGCATTAAAAACAAACAAATGCTGACGGAAAATTAAACACTCATGTGGCAGCCATGACAAGTTGCTTTTGGTGTCCAACCTAGATTAAAAAGCTGACGTGTGGTGTTCTGTTGAGTTTTCTTAGAAACAAACAAAGTTCTGTTTACTTTCAGTGTTTCTCACCAAAAGACATTGTCTTTGAGGCCTGTCAAAAGTCTGTTCAAAGTTTGTTCACATCTATGTTTACTAGCTAGCAGTCTCCACTGCCTTTGTTGCCACAGCCAGTTTTAATTATAAAGCCTGAAATCACAAATCAAACCTTGCCTAAAGGGGCTTTCTAATCGGTACAGCATGCAACACCCTCTTTCCCTTTGATTTGAATGGGGAAACTTTGGCCCAGAGGGTCAAAGGGCAAGTCCAGTTGTTTTCATCTTTTTGAGGCGTGAGGACATAAAAGTTTATATAACAATATAGTAAAATATAATAATCTAGCTGTTTTTAAAAATGTGCATGTTGTCGTAAAAAAAAGAAAATAAACTTGAACTTTGGGCCTCATGCCAAAACTACCATTACTATTCCATCCAAAAAGCCCTTTAATGGGGAAAAAATGACGAGGAGGGATCCCTCTCCCAGGATGGACAGACAAGAAGTAGATGTTGTGTGTACTGATTAGACTCACAACAGAAAGCCATATATACAATTATCATGAAAAAAGATTATATTGTAAAACTGGAGAAAGAATCCAGAAGGACAGGTGAGCCACTTCAGGTTTCGCCAACCATGTAAGACTAGAGCTTCACCACCTCCTCTCCACCACAGATACAGGGAGGGGGGGTCAGAAATTCAGTAAATATCAAAGAAATTTGCAGTTGGCAGGACAGACATGGACTATATATATATACCATATTACTATGTTAATGAGATTCATTAAGACAGACCCGCTGGAAGTACAGTAAGAACAGGTACGAGGCCTGAAATATGGCAAGTAAGTAATTATTTAAAGTTAAAGCGAATAGATTAGCTTGCAGCTGAGATTTAAAGACCTCAACAGAGTCATGCTGTTTGATGTCAACAGGGAGGTAGGTTATTCCAGAGGAAGGGGGCACGATAGAAAAAGGCCCTGCAGCCAGCTGACTTCTCTATAACTCTGGGTCTCAGACAGGAGGCCAGTATTCTGAGAGAGCATAGGATGGGACATAAGGTTTAAGGAAGTCAGACAGGTATGAAGGGGCGAGCCCATTTACAGTTTTATAAGTCATCTGAAGCACCTTAAAGTCTGATCTAACATTGATAGGGAGCCACTGAAGGGAAGCTAAAATTGGTGAGATATGATCAACTTTTCTGTAAGCTGTAGGCCAGACTATAATTGTTAACAGTGAACGAATCTAGATGAAACAAAGGCCTGAATTAAGATCTAGAAACATAAAATACCTCATTTTAGCTATGTTGCTTTAAGTGGAAAAAGGAGATCTTGGTGATGTCTTTACTGTGTTTCTTGCATGTTAACAACTGTTAATCAGTGCAATAGTGTGAAGCAAACAAGTATGACAAAGAGCAGGCAAGAATCTAAATTCTAATGGTCAGGCAATAAGGTCCAAAACACGCAGGGAAGGCAGACAGAAACAGGCAACCAAGACCATATGCTGTCATGGTTTTGGCGTTAGGCCTATGTGTTATTCTTTCCACTTTTATCTTGTTAAACCTTTCTTCATGGGTCTTTGTGAACTTCCGTTTCCTGTCTGTGTTTTCCAGTTCTCTGTACTGTGTTTATCCTTTTGGCATTTATTAATTCGTTCCCCTTCATCTTGTTTTGGTGTATTTTACTTCCAGTGTGTATGTTTGCATGTCCTCTGTATTTGATTATGTTTGTCCTGTGTTTCCTGTTTTACCTTAATTCTCACCTTAAATGTAAATGCTCCGGATTTGTATAGCGCCTTTCTAGTCTTTTCGACCACTCAAACCACTTTTACACTACATCCACCATTCAAACACATTCATACCCTGGCGGAACAGCCAACAGGGGCAATTCGGAGGTTAAGTATTTTGCCCAAGGACACTTCAACATCCAGCCTGGGGGGGTCGGGATTGAACCACCTTCTGATTAACGGCCAACCTGCTCTACCTCCTGAGCCACAGCCACCCCGGCCTTACCTTTGTGTAGTGCCATATTGTCAGTGTCATTCGGTTCATGTCCTCCTAGTTTGTTGTTTCCCAGTGTTTCCCTTGGACTGTGCCTGTCTTTGGACTTTAGATTTGTTTGGTTGTGAGCCCTGCCTGTCTTATCAGTACTGTGTAGGCGTTTGCCCTTGATGTGGTTTAAATAAATCGCTGAACAGCACGTGCTGTGCCTAGGGAGTCTGCAGTCAGATCCTGTAACTTGTTCCACATTTAGACTAGGTGTGATAGAAACACACAACAACTAACATAGGATGATCTGGCAAGGAGTAACTGGAAAAGTACTGGTTAAGTACTGCAGGGCTGATGAGAGAGTGGAAACAGGTGAACAGGGAATGTTAGGTAAGCAGGTCAGGAAGCAGGCTGGGAATCAGGGGTGCTGAGAAAGTCTTGAGCTCACCCAAGTAAAAAATCCCTCAGCCTAGGTTTAGTGGTTATTTCCCTTCGTGCCACAGTCAGAGCTGCCTCTTTATCCTCTATAACGTTACTATGTGCCCTCCTCCAACTACCTTGCAAGCACAGGAGGGTGTAAGACCACCCATCAGAAAAAAAAAATAGAAAATCTAGAAGATAAAAAACATTTTTGCTGACACAATCATGAATGTACCTTTTTGGTGTAGTATAGTCCTGTCCTTAATCTGCTTTTAGAAGGAGCTGATGATCAGATCTTACCAGGCTCCGATGCCGTTGGGATCCCTCACGACGCGTTTAGCACAGTTGATTGCCACGCTGACATCGCCGTTCAGAAGCGCTGTGAAAAAAGAAAGAACATCTGGATTTGAGTGGGTCCCTCCCATCTATAGAAATTTTGTTTATTAAAGTTTAAATAAGAGGGCATTAAAGTTTTGTCATAAGGGGGAAGAGGGACTCCACAACAAGCTGAAAACACAACATTAGATGTAGTATCAGCTTATAAGGTTTTAGCTAACGTCTTAGCAAAAACGTCTGCCTGCTGCAACTGGAAAGTAAAAAATCCCTCAGCCTAGGTTTAGTGGTTATTTCCCTTCGTGCCACAGTCAGAGCTGCCTCTTTATCCTCTATAACGTTACTATGTGCCCTCCTCCAACTACCTTGCAAGCACAGGAGGGTGTAAGCACCCATCAGAAAAAAAAAAATGAATCATGAATGTACCTTTTTGGTGTAGTATAGTTCGAGAACCACTGTGGGCTCATGTTTTTAAACTTCATGGTTGATAATTATGTGACATCTCAAGCTAACCGCAGCTAACATTATTAAACATATTAGGCTACACACCTCACACCCATACCTGAAACCACACCTGTCTATCTGCTGTTCACTGGCTAATGCTGCTGAACCACTTTCTGAGGTTTACTCCTCGAGAAAAACGTTGTTATTTCTATTGTCCATGTAATGTCTGTTGATGCCTAATCTACCTTGACATAAAGTATGAATAATGAGCCGACTCCAGGAGTTAGTCTTCTTTGTATCTTTTACTGATTCAACATGGTTAACAACAACACAGGCCTCGCAGTTCCCTACGTCATCAGGACGTGCCCTCTAACTCTTAAAGTGACAGAACATTCTAGTACACTTCTATTCATTACATCTCCCCCTCAAATATAATATCCCAATAGCAGCCATGAACTGTGGCTGTAGCCAGCTTTAACTTTAGGGTTCAGTAACTCCCGTAACTCTTAGCTCTGTAGCATGTTCCAGCTTTTACAAAACAGAATGAATGTTTCCTTCTATTACTGGCTCTCAATTCAGATAAAACAAGAAACTTTTAAACCTAAGCCTGATGGGTATATGACATCTGTTTTAACTGCGCTTAAGTCAAACATGTTACGACTTAACTGAATACACTTCAGGCTATTGAAAACAATGCACTTGTCCCACCACCCCCAACAGCACAGAGAATGCCTCACAGTCCATAGTTCGTCTGTCTACAAGTCCATCTACAAGTTACTCACTCTACCAGAGTGAGTAACTTTAAACCCCTGTGTAAGAGTCTCTGGCGTGTCGGCACCCCATCGTCCGTACACTCAGCTGGAGGTACCTGTTCAGAACATTTACCGATGGATGTGACCTCGTCAGGTGTGGCCAGCAGGTGACGCCTGTTCCTTCTGTAACACTCACCTTGTGGTGTCTCCACTATGTAAAATCTGGGAGTGGAGCTCGAGCTGTGAACAACAGCTGGTGTAGTCCATTGTGTGTGTCCACTCAACTTCGTGAGCACTGTGTCCCGTGGGCTCAGCGGTGGTAGACTCCTCACTCCATTTTGGTGGTTGTAGAAGTATGCCTGCTTCTGCTTGGCTGCAGCGTCAGCCTGCCGGTATACGTCCATGTCAGGCCAGCTGGGTTTCAAATTGTCATGCAGCATGGTCAAGGTAGTCCTAAGTCTCCTGCCCATCAACAGCTCTGCTGGACTGGAGCCTGTAGAAGAGAAGGGTGTGGCTCTGTATGTCATGAGGGCAAGGAGGGTGTCTTCCTGTCGAAGAATTCCTTTGGCGATCTGGACAGCCCTCTCTGCATGCCCGTTGCTCTGAGGATAATGTGGGCTTGACGTAACGTGGAGAAAGTCAAATTCCCTACTAAACTTCCTCATCTCTGCTCACTTCTGGGATGCCATAACGTGCAAAAGTAGCTTTCAGCCTATCAACTACCTGACTGCTAGTGGTTGTTGGAAGATGTAGAATCGTGCGTAGTAGTCAGACACTAACAGATAATTTTGACACTACCAGATAATTTCGCTTTTTAAACTCACAAAGGTCTATTGCAACTTTCTGCCATGGTCTTGACGGGAGCTCACTTGATATCAATGGCTCTTTCCTCTGCGTGTTTCTCTTTTCTATGCAGTATGTACAGTGCTGCACTTTGACAGTGATATCACCTGACAATTTGGGCCACCAAACAGCTTGATTAGCTCTTTCTCTGCACTTGACTAGACCCTGGTGCCTGTCATGGATTCTCTCTAAAATCGTCTCTCTCATATCTGTGGGAATGACTATGCGGTTCCCTCTGACTACTAAGCCGTCTAGCTCGGATAGCTCTCCTCTCACCTGGTAGAAGTCTCTGATTGGCTCAGGTACTTTACCTGTGTACTCAGGCTAATGAAGCTCAAAACTGTCTGAAGCTGTGGATCATCAGCTGTGCTTTGTTTTATTTCTTCCATCTTCTGGGGAGTGGCTGGCACCTGATATATGACGGCGTCAACATGTGCTACCACGTCTTCTTGAGTAGCCCCATCTCCACAGTACTGCTCTGGGCCCCTGGAGAGAGCATCAGCCACTGCCAGCGTTTTGCCTGATGCATATTCTGCTATGGCATTGAAACGCATGAGTCTCATCAATAACCTCTGGCACCTGATGGGAACATTGTCCAAGTCCCTTCTGTTCATGAGGGGCACTAGCGGTTTATGATCAGTGATTACTCTGAAGTTGTCGAGTCCGAACAGATATTTATCGAATCTTTCACATGCCCATACACTGGCTAGACACTCTTTTTCTATTTGTGCGTACCTGATCTCTGCATCACTCAGACGTCTGGACACATAGGCCACAGGTTTCCACTGGTCTCCATGCTGCTGAAGTAGGACGCCCCCCAGCCCGTAGCTGCTGGCGTCTGCAGACACTACAGTAGGCTTGTTAGCGTCATAGAAGATTAGAACCGGGGCGGTGGCAAGTAGGGTTTTGAGCTTTTGGAAAGCTGTGTGCTGTGCAGGCCCACACAACCACTCTACTTTTCCTCTTAACAGTTCGTAGAGCGGCTGACCCACGGTGGACAGCTCAGGGACATACCTAGCCAGATAATTCACCATTCCTAAGAACCTCCTGAGTTCCACAACGTTGTGCGACTGGGGAAAGTTTTCTATCCCTGTCACTTTTGTCTGGGTCGGGTCTGACGCCTGTCTCATCGATGACATGTCCAAGGAAGCGAACTTGTGTCTGTTTGAATTTACATTTGTGCTTGTTCAACTTAAGACCTGCTGCCTCTATGACCTTCAGTGCCTTTGCCAAGCGCTGGTCATGGATCTCCTCAGTCTCCGTGGATGAGGATGTCATCCATGTAGATCTCAACCCCCTCAAGCCCTGCCAAGGTTTCAGCCATCTTCCGTTGGAACATCTCTGGAGCGCTTGTGATCCCGAATGGGAGACGGCGAAAGACGTATCTCCCAAATGGGGTGATAAAGGTTGTAAGTCTTTTGCTGTCCTCGTGCAGAGGAATCTGATAGAAGCCACTGGCTGCGTCTAATGAGGTAAAAACCTTCGACCCGGCCAGCCTAGGCATTATTTCCTCGGCAGTGGGCAGGACATACTTTTCACGTTTCACTGCTCGATTCAGCTTCCTGAGGTCAGCGCAGCAACGAACCTCCTTTTTGTTGGGTTTGAGTACTGGCACCATAGCAGCGCACCATTCTGTTGGCTGCGTTACCTTTTCTATGATGCCTTCACTTACCATGCGCTGCAGTTCTTTCTTTACCAGAGGAACGAGTGGCAGGTGTATCCGTCTGGCTGTATGCACTGCGTATGGCTGGGCGTCATCCTGTAGTATTATTCTCACTGGCTCGGTTTTCAGTAACCCACTTGATCCGAAAACTCCACTGATCTCGTGCACCCTCTTCACTAGACCCATGTCTACAGCCTCAGGGCGGCTCAGCAGGCAGTTGCCTCTCCCCCTAATCACATACACAGTGAAGGAATACTGTTTCTCTTTATATTTGGTGGTGGCTTGGAACAGCCCCATGCAGCGGAGGTCCCCCCCTGGGCTTATGAAGTGGGTGTCGGGCGGTGTCAGTCTTATTTTAGGTTTCATCTTTTTGAATGTCCCTAGATCAATAACTGTGGCATCGGCATCCGTGTCTATTTTGAAGGTGATCAGGTTTTTACATATTTCTAGGTTTACAGTCCAGTCATCCCGACTATTAGTCTCTTTGCTAATTAATCCCAGGAAATATGGCTGCTTCTCTTTTTCTGTAACCTCCTTCAAAGCTTTCTGAGTGCTGTGGCTTGCCGCATCTCCCACATTCCTCCATTTTGTGGGTTGCCGGGCGGCCGCTGCTCCCTTGCCTTTGCCAGTGTTGCCCAATCCTTTTCTTCTGCGGGCCGTCACGTCGGCGCACTGCATTCACATTTGCCAGTTGAGCCTCCGGGTGGTTGGTCTGCAGACTAACCTGTTTAGTTTAGTTACTGTCTCTCTCTCCCTGTATGTCCACTTCGGTGACTTTCTCCATCAGTAGTAGGCTAGGCTGTTTAAAGTCACCGAAAGAAACAGGACTTGTCTTCTGGACATTTCCACCGGTGATTCCGTTCACAGAAGCAGCTGAGCTGCATGTAGAGGAGGCATGTTGATGACGTAGCCTATCAAAACAAAACCAACGTGGTAGCTAACGAATAACATCTGACTGGTGTGTTCACTGTCACTTTAGCTGGTCCGCTCTTGTAAAATATCCACAGTGTCGAAACTCGTAACGTAATCACTGTGTTTCTCTGATTTTGTGTTTCCCAACAAAGTAAAGTGTATGTGTGGGAAACACTGAATGAACCGTGTTTTTCTTTTTACAAGTCAGCACTGTGTCTCCCTCCATGTTGTCAGAGACTTTGTGAGTAGACGGCTGGGGGGGACAGGGTGGGGCTGCGCGGTGAGGGAGAGAGAGAGAGGAGCAAACGCTGGCAAGACTTTACGGAAACATTAACTCAACATCAAACTATATTGGTATAAACGGTATTATCTAATTTCATAGCTATTTTGAAATTATATTGGTATTTACTTTACACCGATATAGCGCCCAGCCCTATTAGTGTCACATTTAAATAGTTTTACTCAAATTTAATTCTTTTTCAACAGAAATGTTGAATAATGAAAACTGCTTTTTTAATGACAAGTGTTTTTTTGTTCATAAACTTAAAACTGTATATTTTGTTGGGGCATTTTGAAAGAGTAAAAACATTTAATTTAGGCCATTCTGACAGACCCTCAACACCCTCTTGTTGCAGAGTTTTGACTTCTGTCATCAGGGAGGAGGTACACTTCCCTAGGACAGCCAAATCAAACCAATATCTAAGATCATTTGTTCTGTCATCTGTTTAAATGACTGTAGGACTAGTTGCTGTTCCACGTATAATCTAATACAGGACTAATGGACCGTTTGTCTTCTATTTATTTATTTGTTACTGATGTTTGCATACCATTACGGAGCATTTACAAATTGTCCCTCAGGGAAAATAAAGGCTATCAAATCAAATGTTTATATTGTGAGTTATTTATGCTGAGTGGTCAATGGCACAAGTACATTCTTACTAAGTACTGTAAGTCCTCCTGATGAATTGCTTTAAAATTTTGTTGGGTTTTAAAAATGTACAGACATCCTATTAATTGTTCATGTTTTCTGGTTCTTGTTAGAATTAAATGTTCAAATAGTTTCAATTGTTGCTTCATTTCTTTCTAACTATGGTATTTTAACATTGTGCCGACAAACCCTGAACCTTAATCACAAATCACCTAATTTTAGACACTGAAACATTGAAACATATTTATAGCTGAGAGCGTAATCTTTCATTTGCTGCTGGTTATAACCACCGACCCCGGTCTCCCCTACATACATGTGTGTACTGTATGTGTGAAAATGCTGAATGACAAACACTCTACAAAGTGATGTCAGTGTTCACTGAATCAACCTCTTTATAAAAGTCCTCATGAAATCAACTTTAGATAGAAGAGCAAATGCATTTAAATTCTACTTTCATCGGCTTGTTTTTATCATGTATTATTTGTGAGTCACACTGCTCGTTCTCCCAATGCCATCAACACTTTGCACAAAGTTAAACAAAAAAAAAAACAGGAGCTGCCTGTCACTGCTGATTCCATTCTGAGACATTTTATCATACAGAGCTGTAATCACACTCATAATGGAGTTCCTGAACTCCATTTACTGCACCAACTTTCTCTGTTCTCTGGTTGCACTATGTTGTCAGACTCTTCTTCATCACAACGCCCTCACTCCCTCTCCTCTCCCTCAGTCTCATCTCAAACCTGAAACACAGGCTGAGAGCGCAATTAATCAGCCAGCCAAGCGAAGGCAGTTGGATCAATTAAGCTGCACACAGAGACGAGAGACGAGACTGGATCCATCCATCCACTCCATCTGAGTCAGAGAGAGAGAGAGAGCCTGAGGAGATGTTAAAAACGGTGCAAACAATGATGGAGCAGGGATTCAGGCCCTATAACAGCTGTGAATTTCTAAAACATTTCACAGTTCTGCAAGGAAAAAAAGACGTTTCCTGTTGAGCTGCTGCTGAGTTAATCATCTCATTTAGTTGTCTGTACCAATATAACAAGTCAAGTCAGTTTTATTTTTACAGCCTATAATCAGAGGTGTCTCTCACAGGGCTTTACAGTCCTTAAATCACAGGACACCCTGTACCCTTAGACTCTCAATTCAGATCAAGGAAAACCCTTTGATGGTGAAAAAATGAAGAAACCTCATAAAGTGCAACAGTTAAGGCATCCTTCTTCCAGGCTGGACAGACCTGCAGCAGGTGATAAGGTGACAGAAGTTGTTATCTTTTGTAAGTCTTTGATTTGAGACAGTAGTCTGTTTGACAAGAGTCAATGTTGGTTTCGTTAGCTACGGTCGTTCACACTGCAGGCCTTAATGTTTAATTCAAATTTTGCTAATTTTTCCCCCCAGATCTGATTTTTTTGTTTGACAGTTCACATTATTGTTTAAATGTGGACAATATCAGACTCCCCAGTGTGAACTGTCCATGGCCTGAAAGTGACCCGCATGCGCAGAAGAATAAAACAACGTCACACACAGAACGCTGTCGTGCAGAAGTAAACAAGCCACAGAGGTTAGCTCCAGTTAGCAAGTAGGAGTGGTTACCAAATGGTTCCAGTGACCTGTAAGCATTTGGTAAGGCACAGTCCTGTCAATCAAATGTGTCGTCCTAAAGTGAAGTTACAAACAACACTGTCAGAGTGTCTGTCCCTCCCTCCAGCCACATCCCCACTTCCCAATCACTGCCATTCTCTACCTGTCCACCAGATGCGCTCAGACTTTTCCACCTGTCCCAGTCATTTGACTCTCATTCGCCTGCTCGCCTGTTCCAACTTTCCCTCATCAGCCCTTTCAGACCATATACCAGCCCTATTTCCTTTTTTCCTGTACCTGCCTGCCTGACCTTCTGCCTGATTTACAGACTGATGCCTAACACCTGAACTGAATGGTTTCTTCTCACTTTAGCCTAAAGAAAATTAAAAAATGTTCTTCAATTTTTTTTCTTTGTTTGTGTTGGTAGCAGACAGAGAGATACATCATAATGAGATGTCCTATTATAGAGAGTAATGGAGTTGGTTTAACTTCATCCATTATTTTCTTTAACCAGGACATTAAAGGGCCAGACTGGACTGTGATTGGTTAGTGAGCCAACAGTCCTGTTAATCACAGATTGTGATGTAGTCCAAAACAAACCCTGGTTACACCCAAAAAACTGTCAGCATGTTTGTTCTTAGTCTTTATCTGTGGAGAGAGATTGCGCAAGAGATTGAGAGAGAGTGAGTCCCAGCTGAATGTCTGAGTCATTCTTCAAACTGATCGACCATTGTGTTTGATGGTGTCTTGGCTGCAGAACACCTGAAAGCTGCTTGACTCAAACTACCTGAAAATATTCACTCAATCTGGAGGAATATTAGGGACTTAAAGCAGCAACGGTTGAAGGGTCAGCTACGGCGTTAAAAGAAATGTCTATTTTGCGTAATTAAATAATAATAAAAAATATATATAATATATATATATTGTAATTGCCATTCTCTCTCTCTCTGTATATATATATATATATATTGTAATTGCCATTCTCTCTCTCTCTGTATATATATATATATATATATATGTTTATATATGTATATTATTAAAGGCAGTCAATTTCCTGTTTGTTCATAGAGATATCATGCATTGCTAGCAGCACTTAAGATGATGCTAGGTGACCACACTAAGTAGTAGTAGGTGATTTTGTTAAAAAAATGAACAAATCGCCTACTGGCCTACTGTAGCTAACAAATAGGCTATTCTCAACACTTTTGATTAGAGGTAGGATTAGTTAACAAGACAGGTAGTTAAACTATATTTTGTGGCTGTAGCTATGTAGCTGGGCATATGTTGAAGCTTTTCTAACTGGTTTTCCATATCTATCTAGAGCCCCTGCAGAGGTAAGATGTTCTCCTCACTAGAGAAATCCTAGTGCCGGAGCCTTTCATGTACAAGAAGGCAAATTTATTTGAATTGAACATTTCAACAACAAGGCAATTCAAAGTGCTTTACATAAAACAAAAGCAACATAGGGCAATACAAAAATACCTTTAATTGCAATTAAATAGAAAATAAAAACAGCGTGAGATATTAACCAAAAGCCTCAAATTTGATTTAATAAAATGCAGCTATCTTTAGCCTTGATTTAAAAGATCTGAGTTTCAGCAGACCAGCTGTTTTCTGGGAGTTTGTTCCAGATATATGGTGCATAAAAATTGAACCATGTTTAGTTTTGACTCTGGGGACCTGAGTTGTCTGGATTGTTCATAAAATATCAGAAATGTATTTTGGTTCTAAACCATATAGTGCTTTATACACCAACAGCAGTATTTTAAAATCAATTCTTTGAAGGGGGGTGTGAACAAGGGGATGGTCTGTTAAACTATTGTAGACACCCTGAATAGTTCCCTGGACCTTCAATTTAAAGTATCTTAAAGGTCTTGACGGAGTGGTCTACCCTCACTGCAAACTGGGCCCAAGCAGAGCAGGCCATGAAAAGAGTGGGCCAGACCCAACATAAGGCAAGGCAAGTTTATTTGTATAGCACATTTCAACAACAAGGTAATTCAAAGTGCTCTACATAAAACATAAAAGCAACAGGGAAATATAAAAAAGTTTAAAGCAACATAGGGAAATTGAAAAAAAAACACACATTAAAACAGGACAGTAAAAGTTACAGTGCAGTGTACAATCAGGGTTAAAAGAGTTAAATGAAAAATAAAAACAGGCTGAGGGGTTGAGCAAATAATTGAGTTACAATTATTTTGAAAAGAGAATAAACAGAGAAGTACACTTAATCTACTCTCTCTAGCTAGTCTGCACTCGGGTCCGTAGCAATCTTTGGGTCCACTGAAACTCCAAAAACCCTCGGACACTACAGAGAAACCAGGACATGTCTGTCTGCAGAACATAGGCTGAGCGAGGATGGAGAGGAGTATAGCAGCAAGTGTAGGAGAAGTGACAATGAAACTACTGCATTTTTGAGGGACAGAAGAAGTTGCTAGAGAGCTTGAGATGGTGGTGCAGCAGATAGTTGAGGTGACAAATATGATGCAGCAACAGCAGGACCAAATGCAGTCTACCCAGGCCATGCTCTTTCAGCAGCAGCACTGCTTGCCCTAACTGCAAAACAAACCAAGGAATGTTGAGATCTTTATTTCTTCTGTAATTTGTTAAGATTAACAGACAATGCATCAATCTTTTGATCTATGAATGAAAAAAAGCAAACTTGAGATATAAAATTTTCTGTGTCCAAAATTTAATAATAAAACAAAATATACATATATGTGTGGGCAATGTATCTTTTTTTTTTTTTAGTTGTATGGAATTTAGTAATTTCCTTCAGTGCATTTGTGGGTTAAGGTTATAGCTCTGCCGCAGTTTGGTAGCTGCAGCCTGTGCACTTGAAAGAGAGGGAATAACTCTCCAATAAAAAAAAAAATGTTTGTGTCTGACTGCCATACAGGTAAGTATATACATTTCAGATACAATGTAGAGTTTACCTACACCACTCAACCCAATTTTTTAAAAATCCATGAAAGTAATTTGCAATGTCTCTGAACAACCAGTGTACAGATGCACTCCACTAATGTATTTGTTGAAGGCCATCATCTGGGGAGTGAGATTGACATGCATTTTTTTGGTAACGTGTCACATAAATTATGTATGACTTACCTACTGCACCATGTAGATTGGCAATAAAGCCATTACAAATGGAATTTCAAGCTGTGCACTCTTTTGTGGCCATTGTACATCACTCGCTTGTTCGTTCGGTGATCGTCAGGCTGTGATCGGGGGGAATTCAGTGGTTGATTGGCGGTCGCCAGTCGTCATGTGTGAACTGCACAAGTACACATGAAAAAGGCTCCCCGACACATCATTGCCACATCGCTGACGTCTGCCAAATATCTGGAAGAGTCGACCGACTCCACATCCACATTCAGCCAATCAGAGCAGGCAGCTACTTTTTTACCGCAAAACAGTTTACTCACTTCCACCTCTCTCTGTAGCTCAGACAATCCCTGCTACCTGCGTCTGCTAATCCATTCTTTCACCCAGATTTTTTGTCTTTATAATTGCTGTCTTTATAATAACGAACAACAGCTGTTTCACGGGTTCACATTTCACATGTGTTTTCTTGACAAAACGTGTTTTGGAGACCAGCATCGGGTGACCGAGCCGCTGTCAACTCATGTAGTGTGTGACCCCCTGTCACCGATCAGTCATGTAGTGTGAACGCCACAGCGACTTCAAGACTCCCGTCACAAGACAGCAAAAGTTGTGTAGTGTAAACGGCACGGCCGTCAGCCGATGCTGAAAGTCGTGTAGTCTGCACGAGGCATAACATTAACATTTATTCATGTAGCTGACGCTTTTATCCAAAGCGACTTACAATTGCTATACATGTCAGAGGTCGCACGCCTCTGGCGAGGTCGCACGCCTCTGGAGCAACTAGGGGTGTCTTGAGCAGTGTCTTGCTCAGGGACACAATGGTGGATGTGTCACATTGGGAAACTGAACCCGGTTCTCTCAAACCAAAGGCAGGCATCTTATCCACTGCTCCATCACCACCCCGCATAAATTGCTAACCCACCACCACCGGAGTACAAGTTGGTATTTATGTATATCTAAATACCAAGTTGGCTATTATATGTATATATGGCTATTTATAATACGTGACCTTCTTTGTCTTGTGTTTGCATTGAATGGCCACTAGATGTTGCTGCTGCAATAAACGTAAACATGAGTTCATGTAATCCGGGGAATAGTGGCCAATTACTGGCCCAGCAATTAACCAGGGCCTCTAAAAAAAGAAGACACAAAACTATTAATTACTAAAGGAAATCATCTAATTAAATGCAACATCTTCTCATACATACCACCTCGCCAAGCCACTGGTCAACCCAACAGGACCCAGTGACAGAGAAAGAGTGTCCCAGGGGCCGCCGCTTCTTATTCTGCAGCATAAAAGAAATGTAAGTCAGCAATCAGCAGACAACTAAATAACAGACCGGACAGATAGGCAGACCACGTGACTTATCAAGCGGATTGCACTGCCTGGTCACCAGGGTGCCAAGAACACTGGCATAGTGCCATACAGTGGCAGGGAGGAAAAACACCTCTGACCACATAATGTTTACACTAATTTAAATTTCTTCTTCATAGAAATGATAATGTTGTCAAAAAGCAAGTAAAAAAAAATAGCAAGGATATACTTATTTAGTAGTCCAAATATTTTTTTTATTATAGACCAACTGTCTATATCCCTAATAGTTTTCAGTAGATTATTCTAGCGTTCACTCACACGTATAGAGTTTATTAACTGCATACAATGTGAAGCTCATAGCAAAACAACAAGGTGTTTCTGTAAAGGAGAGGACGCTCCCTGTTTACAGCTGAAGATAAAGGACCTGAAGGAGACTAGATGAGAGCAGGAGAGAAGGATTAGGTAGACAGACAAGTCTGAGTAAAAACAAAGACGAAGAAGAGAAGAGTTAAAGGAGGGGAGGGAAGGAGAGGAAGAATGATGAGTAGGAGAAATGATAAAAGATAAAAGAAGACCAGGGCAAGGGAGAGAAGGAGGTGGGGAGGAGGGCAGGTTGTTAATTTCAGGGCCGGTATCTCACAGGCAGCAGAACCTCCAGGGTCACCAGGCCACCTTCAGGACTTTCATACTGAAATAGACAGCCTGACCCTGGGACACATAGATGGAGGGAGGGATGGGGCTTAAGCTGCTTTCTTCAAACAATTAAATTCTCTGCATTTGCCTGAATTTAATACCACATTTGCATTTATAACCAAACAATATTTCGTAATATGACACAACACAATACAGTCATGTCCAAACACAACATAATAGTGTTGTGAGAGATGTAATGTAACGTAACAAAATAACATAAAATAACAATAACATGATATCATGATATCATACACGATGAAAATAGAGGCGGCTTTGGCCCTTCCTGTAGGGGATGAGTGTTCTTGGCCCAGTCCAGTTTATTGTCCACGTGTACTCCCAGGTACTTGTAATCCTCCACAGTGTCCTCACTGACCCTTTGGATGGAAACAATAGTCATTGGTGCCTTGGCTCTCCTTAGATCCAAAACCAGCTACCAGTGGTAGTTGAAGGGGGGCGTCCACCTGCATCGCTGTCTGCTTCTCACCCAGCAGGGCAGGCTGGAGAAGTCAAAGACCATGACCCTCACAGTGCTCGCCGGCTTGTCCAGGTGGGCGTACATGCGATTCAGCAGGAAAACGATTGTGTCCTTAACTCCCAGTCGGTGCTGGTAGGCGAATTGGAGTGGGTCCAGAAGAGGTCTGAAAATGGGCCACAGATGATCCAGAACCAGTCTCTCCAGGGTCTTCAGAATGTGGGAGGTCAGTGCCACAGGTCTGTAGTCCTTGGAGCCACGAGGACGTGGCGTCTTTGGTACAGGCACGATGCAAGATGTCTTCCACAGCACAGGGACCCTTTGGAGACAGGCTCAGGTTGAAGACATGGTGAAGGACTCTACATAGCTGGGGGGCACAGGCTTTGAGCACCCCGGGATGGACACCATCAGGGCCTGCAGCCTTATTAGAGTGGAGTCTCCTCATCTGTCTTCTTACCTGGTCAGTTGAATAGGGGACTCCCAGGAGGGTAGGGGATAATGAGGAGGAGGAGGGGGGAGTAGTGGGGTTGGAGGTGTTACTGTACTGTGAAGGCGGCAGTGCTGGCGACGCGAAGGCCTTCGCGTTTCTGAGTTGAACATTTCCAACTCGAGCGAATTTTCGCAGGTTCTAATCGCGTTCTGTGTGAACTCAAGCGTCGTGAGGATTAAATTTGCGTTTGGTCTGAAAGCACCATTAGAGGGCAGACAGCAGCTGAGTTAGTGGGGGGGATGGGCAGAAGCCATTGAGTCAAATCTGTTAAAGAACAGATTCAGTCCATTGGCCTTGCCAAACTGCCTTCAACTCCTCTCCTGCCAGTTGGTCTGAAGCCAGTGATGTTCCTCATGCCTCTCCAGACCTCCCTCATGTTGTTCTGCTGGAGTTTCCGCTCCAGCTTCCTCCGGTCCTTCTCCTTAGCCTCCCTGATCTTCACTTTCAGTTCACCCTGAATTGTCTTCACCTCCTCCCTATCGCCATCTCTGAAAGCCCTCCTCCATGCATTGAGGATGTCCTTGACGTCCTTTGATAGCCACGGTTGGTTGTTTGAGTAACAATGGACAGTTTTTGTTAGGAGAGTGCAGTCCACACAGACGTTTATATGTATAGTCTGTGATGCACTCAGAAAGCTCATCTAAGTCCTCTCCATGTGGCTCAAAGAGTGCATCCGAGTCTGTCACCTCGACACATTGCCCTCCTCTGACCATCTCCTCACTGTCCTTGTGGACAGCAAAAATAACAGGGAGTAACCATAAAATAATATAACAGTAACAGTATAACATAAGAATGTAACATAATGTAATGTCATTCAATGTGATGTAAAAGAACATAAGAGAAAACATAAAATAAAGTGTGACATCACATAGCATGGAAAAGTAATAACATCTCAAAAGATGACAATCTAAGGTAATATGCTCTGGCATAATGTGATCCTTTTAATAATGATGAGAGATGTAGCAGAAGATAAGCGCTTAGAGAGAATAAATCAAAACCCT